GCTGTTCCACCATTCAGGCGCCATGGTTTGTTGGAGTTTCCGCCCTCCTCTGTGTCCTCCTTTTTTCCTCGGTTTCGCACCCGCGCCCTTGCCCTTGACTTTTTCACCCTCTGCCGTCCCTCCGAGACACCACTACCTTATCTCGCGCTTAATTCGCAATAGAAACGGTCGATGAAGGGCGTGTCTGCTGCGCCGGGAAATTCGGTGGAAAAGTAGCGGGGGCAAAAGGGCAGGAGCCAGCGGCGGAGGATGCGAGATGATTTCAAATGTTACGCGTTTCGCTTTTTTTAATCAAATCTTTATATCGCGCATTTCTACACGGATAACGTCCCGGTGCGAGTTTTATATTCTTAATATACAGGCGACGTAAATTTTCCATCTTCGATCTTAGAGACCTTTCGCATTCCGCGTTTCCGTCCTTCGACTATCCGTATCTCCTCGCATACCCGCGTCTTCGGATATTGGCGCGATGTCTGTCCATTTTTTCTCGTGTCTCGACCCAACCTTGAACCCTACAAGGTCGCGTCTTAAGGGACGGCGCTGTCAGAAATTCTTTATCGAAAGATGGCATGCCGTAACGTTATGTAATAAAGAATAAATTATAATATCGAATATACCATTCGCTCATTTTTATCGCGATTTGTTAAAGATATTAGTCTATTAAAATTTTGTTCATAAAATACGATATTTAGAAAGTTCTTGAATTTTTTTTTCCAGGATACTTCTCACACACACACCTCTTTACATAAAGAAAATTATAGCCCCGTCAAAAGTTATCTGATTGCGAACCTTTCTCGGTGCTATAAATATCCAGTAATTTAATTTCACTCAGAACGTTTGCCGGAAAGTTTCGTATCATGTTTCCTAGATTTCCTTTCCCAGATGAAAAGACGATTTTTCTCACTCTCTGAAGATATTTAATATGCAAAGTTTTTTCGTGATTTTACATCGATTTTATTTCCAATTCAATTAAAGTCTTGTAGACTATTAATATTAAAATTAACTATTAAAATGCGAAATCCATTAGCAAAATATACATCATTCTGATTATTAGTAATGTATAACTTACTCTCTAATTATTCATATATAAGTTTCTCTCGAGAGTTATTGACATAGTATAACTACTCTAGAACATGCTTCCATCTCCCTAATCTCAGAAAGATCTATCACATCGACGGCAGATAGATATCCGTTCTTATTTGGATAAGTTGCTAAGCGCGTTCATATCGACGATCCTTAAGGAACAATCAATAATATCGAATAATAAAAGCAGTAAGTATATATTCCAAGTAGATATAACAATTATTGTTCATAAGGCTACTTGCTTTGAACACGGGATCGTTCGATAACGAAGCTATAAGGATGCTAAAGGACTGGCTGGAGCTATAGGTCTGCGATTAATTCTGGTTGCAACATGCGCGCACTTGGTTACTCCATCTTTGGGGAACTTAATTTAGGGGTCGAACTACACGTCGTGGCGAAACTTGGTGCTCGCAAAAGGCGACGCTTGCTGATATCGACTTCCTCAAATTGATGACCCTCTGGCAATATCTACGTTAATAGACTAAGCTTGCGAAATTATACGAATCGTTAATTATATGAATAGTTGCAGGAGCAGTAAAAAAAGATGATTAAAGAGAATTTAGAGAATCGTATCAAATTTAAATAAAAAAATCGCTCTACATATGCATCAAAATTAGACATAATTAAAGTAGAGTAATAGGAATAAATTCTTGTTATCCGAGAATTTCAATATGATTTTTTTAATAAGCACTTCAAAAGTTTTCCAAAATTGTTGATTCCACATTCTTTACTTATCTTCTTGAACTAAACTCTTCGTTTGAATGTCAATTCCGTGATCATTCACATTCGCAGCTCAACCAGAGTTCGCAATGCTTCGCAAATAACGCGTTTGCTCACAGTTGTATCGTACAAGCGAAGTAACAAAGCAAGTCTCTCGAGAACTTTCGATGTGAAAATTCAATTTCCATCGCGAGGTTTGTGCGATGTCTCGCGATCTTTTTTCCTCCCTACTTGCTCTCTATCTTTCTATTTCTTTCTCGTGTCCTCGTCGCTAGCTATTCGCCTCTTTTTTCGCGGATCTTATCTTGCCCTGGAGACATAGAATACCAAGACAGGCGATTTCTACCTCTTTTTCCTCTCACGCGTGAAGAATAACAAGACGAGAGGGGGAGCGAAGGGCAAACCAGAAAACTTCCTCTCTGTGAACATTTCGTACTCGAAGATCACGCTGATTCTTAGAGAAAACGATCGTCACATTGAATTTTGAAAAATTTATGTTAAATAGTATTTAAATGTATTTTTATTTAAATAATATTCGCTAAACTTCTGTAATTTCAATAATTTTTCCATTAAATGTATTTATCACAGAAACCCATGTAGATATTTTTATAAAAAAATGTTTATTGATATTTTTAATTTCGAGCGATATTTAATAACAGTTGTGTGGTAAAATAATTTCTCCAGAAATCAGTGCAATTAAACCGAGCGATTAAATTAAATAGCTTTTCATCATCAAAATAAAGTTTGCGTTTTACATCATTCGTGCTGTTTCTTTTCTTGTCGTGACACCTAAGTAATCCGCTTTCACGTACAGCTTCTATCGATGTGTACTCCAAAGCACTTTTGCGGCGAGCAACCAGTAAGCTCGCCTGGTCGCTGGAAGACAGGTGGACGGCGGGCGGCGCTTTATCGGGCAGGAAACACCAGCAAGTCGTGCATTGTGACCGGTCGAGATTAGAACCATTGTTTTCGCGCGTTTGCCCGGTCTGAATAGCGTTCCTACAGCGAGGAACGAGAACGAGGGACGGGAATGCGCAGGAATAGGAGAACTCATTTCGACGCCGCCCTTGTTCGTTCACTGCACGTAACGGACGTGTGTGTGTGTGCGAGCTTTATTAATTTCCGGAAATTGAGGGCCGTATCTATCACCGAACGTACGATCGATGCTCTCGACGTCACATGATCGAATCGCTTTTCCTGTTTGTCTCTGTCCCTCTTTCTCTCTTTCTCTCCTCCTTCTCCCTCTCAATATAGTGATAACTTTCGCGCGTCAAAAGCTACACAATATTAGATCGCGATTAAAAGAACTGAATAAACAATAATTCAACCGTTAAAGTTTCCTGTCTTTGCCTAGGAATATCATGCTTTATCTTTTCGGCTAATTGTTATTTTTTTTTTATTATAATATTTTGAATATAACAACAAAAAAATATTGATTATTTATAATTCATGCCATGATATCGCATTACGCAATGTTTCATTCGATGATTCTCAATATTGCACTTATTCAGCACAGATAACGAAAAAGTTGAAGAAGAAAATTGAACTCGCGATGACTGAACTATTCGATCGATGTTATATGGCGCGGATGTTTGCTCATAGTTGTAGAGAATAAATGTGTTTTTCGAGAAGAAACTGAACTTTTCGAAAATGAAATGGAATAATAAAAACCGCGGTACACATACACACATACATACACGCACAAAATACTGTCGTATTTGCGTTCTAGATTCGACAAAGTTCGTTAACCGGCGTTCTGTGCCGCGAGGCTTTGTGTACCTCGGAGAACAATTTCTAATTTTCTGTTACAACAGCGTGGGTTCCATTGACACGAAGAGAAAGGTTCTGCAAGGGTGCATGCTTTAATCCCGTGGAGTTTTTGAGAGAGAAAGGGCCTCTCTCCATTAAAAAGTAATGTTTCATTAACTCAAATTTTACGGCATAATTGTTTGTCGAATGCGTGCAACTTTACATTTTTATTCTCATATGGATAAACCATCCTTTCTAACTAAATTCATTAAACGTTAATAAACTACATTCATGAGTCGTTAAAATCCAGTTATTATTCCGCGTATAAATCGTCATACATCGAATAGGTAGATCTAATTTCTGTTAAAATGTTACACTTACAAAAACAAAGCTTTGTATTTGATGTGATTGTTAAATGATGCTTGAATAGAAATGCCACGTACAGTTCGGAGAAAAAAATTATTTATGCTGTCAATGCAAATAAAAATTTAGATCATGAGGATTGCTTCTTTTATATTATAATAATCATTTTATAATTTTAAATAAATATTATTATAATAAATATTAGAATATGAAGATATCAGAATGCGAGAAATATGAAAAAGGGGGTATGAACGAATGTAATAAAAAGAGAAGAGATTCATGCGTCAGTGTTTGTTCGTTTTTCCCCGCGAAAAGCGTCCAGTCGGAGAACTGAATGGCACTATCTGCTTCACCTCGTCTCAAAAGCTTTTGATACCTCGCAGGGGTCGCACTTTTTTGTTCCTATTTTTTAACCGCCCTTGTATTAATCCCATCTGCCGAGCTTTTCACGTAAATTACGTTATACGCGAAAACGCGTATAAATTTATAAATTTGAAAATTGTTATTTACGCATGATATCGACGCGAAAATTTCTCAATATCCCGGAGATACGTCATAGTGTGAGATACATTAACCCTTTTTTTTCATGTTCGTTCCAGTTTCACTCGCGGGAATTTGTCGACCGAAGAGGACGCCTCGTAAATTGCACAGTATACGTTGATAACATTTTATGGGAATAATGGTGATTTATCTAGCCGCATAATTCTCTCGAAATACACGCTGGCAAATGCATAGATAAAACGGTTTAAACCATGCTCGAATGTTGCAATTTTATGAGATGTAATATTGCGATAAAAATGTTTAGCGATACTTGGTTATTATCAACCGTTTGAACAGCAATTCATGACATTGTGTTACTCGTGCATCTCCATTTCAATGACATTAGTTTATTGCGTCAGAATATCTCGCAATTACAAAATAATCAAGTTATTCGAGTTACATTGATATTCCTTATTTATGGCATGAGAATCAATGCACTGAATTAAAAAA